TAATGATCTAAATCTTTATAAATTAGATATTTTATTTTATATCTTAATTTTAAATTAAATAAATTATATATATCTTAACTATAAATTAAATCTTTATAAATTAGATATAAATAGAAAAACAAACATATAATAACACAATTATATCTTAAACCAAAATTCAATCATGCAAGGCAAATTATTAAACTTTTTGAAAAGAAAAAAAACATATTTTTTTTCAAAGAGCCAAAGTATTAACAATACTATAGATAAATTTTATTTATAACAAAATGTTGTCATGGCTTTTATCCCAATTATTAAAAGCATTTGAAAGCATGAAACTACCCATAAATATCTTTTAATGGTAGACACCATCTAAGAATTAAAGTAATCTATATTTTCAAAATTCACATGTCTAACACGAAGCTTTAAATTTAAAAGTACAATTTAAAAAAGATTACAATAAACTAATTACTTATAAAATTTTAAAAAGATTTTATAAATACTCAATGTCTACTTAGACATTTTGAAAAGATTACGATTTTGAAAACTTGAAACTTTAAATTTAAATTTTAAAAAACTGAAACTTTAATTCTACCTCAAAAAAAAACAGATATATATTGAAAAGTATTTTATTTCTTTATAAAAATTTAAAAATGCTTTTAAACTTACTCCCTCCAATATAATTATATAATATATATATAGTATATAAGATAAATAAACCTCCACAATTTCCTTGGTTTAACAACGCGATTACGATTAATAACAACTCTGTAAACATAAATTTTCTAATAAGCTAAATAAATTACAGATAGACAAACATAAATAACACAATTAAATCCTAAACCAAAATTCATTCATGCAAGACAAATTATTTTATATTTATTGAAGAGCCAGAAACATTTTTTTTCAAAGAGCAAAAGTATTAACAATATTAAAGATAAATTTTATTTATATCAAAGTTTTCAATAAAAATTAAATTAAGATAAATTTATAACAAAATGTTGTCATGGCTTTTATCCCAATAACAAAAACTATGCGAAAGCATGAAACTACCCATAAATATATTTTAACGCTAGACACCAACTAAGAATTAAAGTAATCTATAACAGAAAGCTTTAAATTTAAAATTACAATATAAAAAAGATTACAATAAATTAATTACCTTCTAAATTTAAAAAAGATTTTAGATTACCTATAATTTTAAGCTATTAAACATTATCTACTTAATGTCAACTTGGACATTTTGAACTCGTACCATGAAAGGCTGAAAGGAAATCTTTAAGAAAGCACGCGGTAAAGAAAAGTCTAGAAACTACTTAAAAAGTGTATTTACAAATACAGAACTGTACCGTAACTATAAAACAATACGCGTAACTATGCGCACTAATAATAATAATAATATTCATTCAGCTATTAATTATAGAGATATAAAAAATCATCAGCAGTGATCTGTTACTTTATTTAAATGTATTTCAATAATATAACAACATAAGTAAAGATTAAAGTTATTTAATTCAAATGGCTTTCAAAAAAGCTTGTCTTTTTTTTCTTCTCAATTAAACTTTTCTTATTTTTCGAGTGTATTAATTTAATGATTCTTATCATATATTATTCTTATATTAAAATTAAATGTATTAAAGAGGTGATTGTTTTTTAAAATCGTCGCTTATAAAGCTTAAATTTTTAAAAATTCTTTTTATTATATAAGAATTTTTTTTTAATTTTTATAAATAATATAAAAAATTTGTACAACTTTCCATAATAAAATCATTAGTTACTTCATTTAAAAGTGGTTGGCTATTAAAAAAGCTTTAGTAAAGATAAACCTGTCAAAGTTATTTATTTTTAACATAATTAAAAACCATTTATTTCAGTACATTTTAAAAATGTTAAAAACCATGGTCAAGTTGTCAAAACAAATTATTTTTGTGTGGTCATATTATTATGTGAAATAGCACACCTTCCTGAGTAAATATCTATTTGAATTTGAACTTTTAAAGGTCCAAAAACTTGATAATTCTTAATCAGTCTGAAGACTGATTAAGAATTATCAAGTTTTCAGTCTGAAGAGATGAAATGAAGTTTACTTATCACATTTAGAATAAAATCACTTCAAGAACTTGTCAGAAGTATTGTACCTATGCCAAAAACATTGTAGTCATTGAAGAATTACTGAAAGCAGGAACCATCTGTAATTGAGATGCCAGAAAGCAATCAGTGTTCCAAATGTGCAAGTAAAGTGATTCAAAAACATACTGTCACAAAAAAAAAAAAAAAAAAAAAAGGAAAAAGCTACAACTTTAATTTATTTACAGCAATAAAAAGTGATAAACAATGTACATAAATGAGAACATTTGTGACCTCTTTTCATGTTTGATACATTCATGTTGGTAATGCATTTAGCATATGTAAAATATATTTCTTGTTTTCAGGGTAATTTTTTCAAGAAAAAGATATTTTAAAATGTTTTATTTCATTTTTAATATGCAAAAGTTCACCAAACTAAAGCAACATTAGGTTGTAAAAGCGTTATAACTTAAGTACTTATGCAATCTATTACAACCTATACAATGGTTAGGTTTCCTTTTGAAATTTGGAGACTAATACAACCTTCTACAACTTTAAATTTTAATTTATGATTATAAACTACAACTTTTAGTGAGTTGTTTTATTTATTGAAATATTTAAACTTGAACAAATGTAGTTAATAAATAATTTGAAAAATTAAATCATAAATTAGTAGGCAATAAACTCATAACTCATAAATTATTTCTTATATATGTTCATCATCAATTGTGGTATCAAGAAGTACCTTAGCACTTAGTTATAACAGAGGGTTGATTAATGCCTATTTTTATTAATAAACCTTCATTAAGGAGAGGCAAATTTTGTGTTAAAAAATAGAGTTAAAAAAAGCATAAAATAATTTTTATTAGAAAAAAAGTTATTGTTAATGACAAAAACAACATAAGCCCACCAAATAGCCATTGCACAATTAACCGTAAAAACTGGTTTTGTAATGTTACCAGAAAACAAAATTATTTTTTATCACTGTAGAATTCTAGCTTCTCCCTAACTGTTGACTAATGATTAACATGGTAAGTTTACTAAATTAAACATTAACATTACATAATGTAACATTAAATACTGTAACATTACATAATGTAATTTTACATAATGTAACATTGCATAATGTAACATTACATAATGAAACATAATGACTAATGATTATAATAGTAAATTTACTAAATTAAACATTACATAATGTGACATTACATAATGTAACATTAAATAATGAAGCATAACTTGTTACACGCATAATGTAACATTACATAGTGTTATTGCAAAATTACATGTTGTATTTCAATTAAAATATAACATTAAAAATAATACTGATATGCTAAATAAAATAAAACTTTTTTTGTTAGCCACCAAAAATATTATGAAATAGACTAAAGACAAAACTGATCCAAAAAAATTCACACTGTATTAAAAAAAAACTTTACCAGTCATTTTTGACTTAATTAGAACCTAAACAAAGTAAATTAGAAACCCAACAGCTAACAACAAACAAAAGTTTGTTTACTAAAACTACTAATATTATTTTAAAATAAACAAAGAACAACAAAAGTTTTCTTTGAAAGCTAAGAAAGATTTATCAGCTCATATTTGCTAGCAGATCTTGCTTGAAAGATTGCGTGAAGTTTAAGAAACACATTTAGAAAAACCTAGAAGCTACTTTAAAATTGCATAAGGCAATGTTAAAAGGTAACATCGCATGTTAACATCGCATTAATATTTAGATTATTGTTATTTTTATTATTATAGTAATAATAATTACAATTATAGTAAAAATAATAATAGTAACAATAGTGTCTAAGTGATAAATAAAATATAATATAACAAATAAAACAACTTTTATTCTAGTAAAATTATTTATTTTACTAGAAACTACAATTCAAAAGTGAATAACAATGATAAGTTTGAAAAGAATATTTGAAGTTTTAACTTATCCAGCAAAAAAAATGTTGCAGTCCTTTTTAAAAGAGTTTTGGAATAAAAAACATTGTTGATTTTATTATTTGCAAAGTCACATTTTTAAAAAGTGCTAGGATTTGGTAGTTTTTATGCCTTGACAGAAGACTTCGCTTTGAATCACAATCAAAAATAGTATTTAGGTTGCTTTGAATCACAATCAAAAATAGTATTTAGGTTGCTTGGAATTACAATCAAAAATAGTATTTAGGTTGCTTGGAATTACAATCAAAAATAGTATTTAGGTTGCTTTAAATCACAATCAAAAATAGTATTTAGGTTGCTTTGAATCACAATCAAAAATACTATTAAATGTATAACATAAGCTAATACAAATTTCAAATGTAGAGAAGGAAAAAGCATGAGATTTAAGTACACCGATTTGCTGGAATATTTGATTTTAATAAACTATTCACATGTGTCAAAAAAAGTAATTTACCTTTGTTCACACCTTTCATTTGTGTTAAATAAATTTTGCTTTGATATGTGTTAAAGAGTGCTTAAGTAAAGTTCTTTTTCATATCAATAATATTTTATTAAGTCAATATGGGAAACAGTCTATATAAACAGTCTATAGAGCCTATATAAACAGTCTATAGAGCTATGAACAAAATAATGTAAACAATTGTGCTTAAAACAGCTAATCATCTAAAATACCCAGAGTTTGGAGTTAAATACTGAGAAGTCATTATAAAAAATAAAATAGTTCAAAAAGAAAAAATTAATTTAGCAAAAACATGAAATTTTTGAAAATTTCATGAAAAAAAAAAAAAGTAACAAATGTAATGTGCTCTATGAAAGCTTGAGGGAAATACCAATGTAAAATCATTTGATTAGTTGTTATAATATGTTGATCTTTGTATATAGATTTATTATCTAGTTTTTAAATAAATTTAGTATTTTTTTTCTACTTTCCCTTTTTTTTTATTACACTATACATTTACTTTTAACAGGTTATATTTTAAAAGAATTTCTTTTTCTAATAGGTCTTAATGCTTACGTTAGAAGGTGATCCTCCAACATTAGAAACGTGTACAGATTCAAAAGATGCTTACAAAAAATACTCAAGACAGTTTCGTAAAATGATTGCATCATGCTTGGAGAAAGATCCATTGTCAAGGTTGTTCATTTGTATATAATGTTTTATTTGCTTTCTTACAGTTTTTTTTTTTTAACCTCGTTTACATAGTAAGGTATTATATTAAGAGGTTTGTTGTAATATTGAAATAAACTGCAATTACCTATAAACTACTTTTTGTAATGTGTAAAATAATTAGTTTGGTTTAAAATTTGTAATTTATAAATAATTAAATAATTTTGATTCAATTTTATAGAAAATTTATTTTCTATAGAGAAGAAATTTTTTCTTCTGTGCAAAAAAATATTTTTCTTCTGTGAGTTATGATTTTTAAAACACTAAACATTTACAAAACACTAAACATTTATAAAACACTAAAAATGTAAGACAAAACCTAATAATGAAAAAAAAAAAAAAAAAAAGTCATTTATGGTGTATAATAGATTAGTTTAGTTATTGTTAACTTAGTAATAATCTTACATATTTGTAACCATTGTTGAATTAACAAAAAACTTCATGGCTGCATTATGACCTAAAAGTTTTAGTTGTAATGCATCTGGGCCAGGCCTAAATGTATTTTTCTACTTTTATAGAGTTTATGAGATAATTTTATCTAAAAATTATCCCATATTTATCAGTCATAAATAAAATTCTTAATGCTTTCACAAAATTATTTACTTGCTCAATAATTTAATTGAACAAATAACATGTTTCTCAAATATTTTTCAAAAAAAAATATATATTTTTTTTCAAAATTATAAGCCTTTAGAATTAAGCAAAATAATATTTTTTTAGAATTTTTTTTTCAAAATCATTCAGTTAATAAAGTTATGTGAATGATGACTTATAGTTGATCTTAATTATTTACTTACTAAAATCATATAATTTGATTTTGAATCATTAATTTTTGTATTTTTATTTGAATTAAAAAATGAACTTTTTTTTTTAAAAAACTGTATTCAAGCCCCCCTCCTCCCTCTCCAAGGCATAATATATATGCAAGTTACTGTTTCTCTAAAGTTGTCATTCTATTTTAGTATTCAAGTTTATTTAGTTGTAATAGGTTTTTTAATAAATATGTTATATGACTACTAGAATTCATGACTAGCTTATGTTATACCAGTTTAAATGACTTTCAACTAATTTCTCATACTAATAACGCATGCTACTACAGTATGCGCACACACTTACATATGACTATTTATATTTACATGCACAGCTATAAGAAATTAAATAGTTTACAACTCTGACTTTCTTTATACTGCAACAAACCACTGCACTTACTGGCAGTCATGTCAAAAAGTTATTTACAATTGTATGCAAAGAGTATTGAACCCCACTAAATCTCCTCTTGTCTCAGTGCCAATGTAGAGAATTCATAGCTCTTCACTACAATTGAGGAGGTTACTCATACTCTTTTTTTTTTTAATATTATTTTTAAAAGTTGTTGCTACAACATTTTCTCAATCAACACCAAAACATGAGCAAACGAGGCTGCTGTGCTGAGAAACATGTTGGTCACAGTAATTACCTATTACGAGGCTGCTGTGCTGAGTTGGTCACAATAATACTAGAGGCTTGGTAAGGACCTCTCAACACAATCAAATTTCAGTTGATTAAATTTTCAACCTGTATTTTTAATAGAGTGTTTTTTTAGTTAAGAAATTTTGAATGTGTGTCTATAAAGCAAGAGTGGAATAAGTGTAAAACCTGACAAAGAGTTTTCTTTTAATAAAAAGAGTGTCTGCCCAAACCAAAACCTCTGGTTTATGCATTTACACTCTGCTTATAGCTAAATCAGTATATGTACTCCGTTATACATATGGCAATGTAAGTTAATTAATGCTTATTCTGCTGCTTCTAAAGTGCATATAAAGTTAAAAATACAACCAACTAGTCTGTATTTTAACTTGTACTGCATATAAAGTGAAAAATACAGACTAGTTGGTTAAAATGAAATTTGTCTAAAATTGGTTAAAAGCTATAAGTTAGTATTGCTTAGTTTGTTTTAAAGCATTTTTTGATAGTAATTAAATACGCATTTAAAATAAAACATTTTTTATTATCATTATGGGGTACCCCCTCAAAATAATTTTTATTTATTTATATTTATTACTTTTTACTATTGTATTTTAATTTATTGTTTTTCAAAAAAAGTTATTTTACTGATCAAATAAAGAATTATCTTTTTATGAATTTTATGTTGAAACAAGTTCTCATTCAGTAGTTTTTATAAAATTCATTGAGTCAATTAAGACAGCAAAAGAAAAAAAAAAAAATTAGATGTCCATAAAATAGCTTTACTCTAACAAATTTTGATTGTTATATATTTTAGACCTGATGCAACAGAATTGTTGAAGCATTCTTTTTTTAAGAAAGCGAAGGTTAGTTCTTTCTTCATTTAATTAACATTTCATTTAATGCTTTTTGTGAATGTTATAAACCTACTTTCAATGAAAAATGAAATGGTATGACAGCTTTGCCAACTATGGAGTGTTTTATACTTATATTTTCTTGTATATGTTGCAAACACATTGTTTCCAAAGGTAACAATATAATATTCTAGCATTTTTTTTTAGAATAAAGAGTATTTAATACAGAATCTTATTGAATTAGCACCAAGTCTTTCTGAGCGTGGTAAAAAGGTATAACTTGTAATATTTATTAAGTTTAAGTTAAACACTGATAAAGATTTTTCTTCCTATATTTTAAAATATTGGCAATGTGTATTTAATATTTAGTTTAAGAGGAAACCTAATTCAGGAAGAGCTTATAAAAATGCAGCTGGTGAATGGGAGTTTGAAATAGATACTGACAATCAAGATGAGCACTCTAGTGAAGTATGTCTTTATGCCCAAGAATTAGATAAGAATTTTTGAAAAATATATATAAAAAAGTTAAAATCATATTAAATTTAATTTGTAATTTTTTGAAATTTTTTAGGAAAATTTAGTTGCTATAGAGGTAAACTATTTTTATTAAGATTTTTTTTGTTTGTTTTTGCAATTTTAATTCTAATACTTTAATTTTTAATATTTACCTGTATGAAACTGGAAAGTTTTTATGAATTATACTTAAACTAAAAAAAGTTTTATTTATGGTTTGCTATACCACGGAAAACTTGCCTCTAGGGTGTCTAAGGAAAATACAAAATAATACCTTTATTTTAGGAGCTAGGGTATCGCACTTCTGGAGCTGGGCATCGCACTTGAATACTTGAATAGATATACGCTTTTTACTGTTTTTCCGATAAATGGTATAAAATAAGTTATATAACAGTAGCTAGGGACTATTTTAAGGGTAACAAAGTGTTGAAATGGTAAATAAATGAAAAAAAAAATCATTTATGAGTAAAAAATATCTTTCTGCTTGGTTAAAGATAATAAAATAATAAAACTACAAATATTTTACGATTGGATCAAGCGCATCGCATTTGAATTTTTGAAAATTATTAAAAACATAATTTTCTTCTTTTTTTATATTCATTATTATCAGTATTCATACAAGAGACAAAAAAAAAATGTTATAATTAAAACTTTTAACTGAAACTGAATAACAGTTCTAACTAGTGCTTTCTGTTGATTATCAGACAGAGCAACAAATGCCATTGTCTCAAGTGTTTTGCAAGATTTTTGTATTGTGACCAAACATAATTACAAAAATAAAATTGGAGGTAAAAAAAAATATATGAAAAATCGCACTTCACACGCACTTCACACTTTGAAATTTTTCTTTTTGCTTATTTCAGGGGAACAAAAATAAGCAAAAAGAAAAAATATAAATGACCACTCACACCTTTGAATGCAGAGCAAGATCAAACAGAGCAAGAAAAGCACAACCGACTACAATGACTATATTTGATAGGTAGAAGGATAAAACTCCAGGCTTAGTTGGGAAGCGAAAGCGATCACTCTGAATTGCTGACCATGGAAATAATATTTAGTTGCAAAAAGCTGGCCAAATTTTTTAGTTGTTTTGAGAACATTTCAAAAAGTTGTTTTGAGAACATTTCAAAAAAAAAATGTGAAAAAGATTAATTGGACCGATGAGAGACAGTTACAAAAGAAAAAAATTAGGAAAATAAAATATCTTTTAGCGCAAAAAAACTCAAAGCCAAATAAATTACGTTTAGAACAAATATTTTCGAAACGTTGCTCTTTTATAATTTTTTAATAAAATTAAGTGATGTTATTTATATAAACTAACATGTTACGATTGTTTAAAATTGTAGTATGATTTTAGTATGATTTTTATTTATATACTTGTGTCTTATTTCCAGTGCTAGATTAAGGAGGGTTGGGTTTAGAGGGGGCTATAGCCCTGGGCCCCACAATGTTAGAGCATTAAAAAAGTTAAGAAGACCTTTTTGTTTAGTCATTTTTATGCTGTGGCACATACAAAGGCATCCAAAATGAAAATAGCCCCCGCCCCGAAAAGTCTAACAAGATTCTATTGAAACTTATGCAAGTTTTAGTTTTATCTAAGCTAAATTATTTTATAAATAAAAAGGTTAATTTTTTTAATACCTATTTTATGCTTCGTGTAGTATGAAAAGTTTAACATATTTGAAACAATTCTTCTTTGTAAGATAAACAAATAAAATAATTAAATCATTGAATTACTATAGAAATTAAATTAACTAGATAAAAATCAATTAAAAAGGTTAAAAATACTTTATGACGAGGAAGCAAAACTGCTTCACAATATCGCTAATGATGCTTAGTGAGTAGGCTTTTTAATTTTAATTAGTATTTAAAGCAGAAAAAAGTATAACGAGTTTTTAAGAATGGCAACTGAAGCGAAAATAATTAGAGTTAGTAAACCAATATCTAGAAACTTTTCTTTATATCTAATAACTTGCTATATATATTTGTGTTCTGTTGTGACCTCAGGCATGGTGTTTGTTCATCTGCGATTTACTCTGTATGGGTTGTTTGTGTTTAGTAACCAGAAACTTCTTATATGTTTGTTACATAATTAGTTTTATTAACTTTAATGATTATTAATAACTTCATTGAAAACGCAATTATTTTTGTAAGTCTTTGTTTACAAATTAAATCATAAAAATTGCTTTAAAAGATTACAAAAGATACACAAAATTACATTTACATAAAAAATACATACTTTTTAAATAAAAAATAAGAATATTCTTATAAAATCTATAATTTATAATAAACTTTCAAATTTTGACAATTTAGATAATATATATTCGAAACATTTATTTTTGTAAACAAATAATAGTTTAAAAGATTTATGGCTTTGCAGATGTGGCTCCCAGAATGAGCCATAGTATTGATAATATATTCTTAAAACAATTTATGCTAGAAATCGTGAATAATACAATTTCTAAAACATTTCAACAGAATAGTCTAGAATTTTATTTCGCTTAGTAAGCATATTTTTTGAACCAATAGAATTAGTTTGTTTGTTAATTTGGCGGGTTTTAAGTGTTCACGAATATTCTTTTTATTCTTCCGCACCAAGATATTTTGGGAACATTCCAGTTCATTATATTTCCATGTATGTCGGTAAAACAAAAATTTTTGTTACCTACATACACTTGAATGTTCCCAAAACGACTAAAAAACCTGGCCAGTTTTTTGCAACTAAATATTATTTCCGTGGTCAGTATTCAAGAGCGATTGCTCCCGTTTCCCGACCAAGCCTGAAACTCTGTTTTCTGTTGTAACTTAATTCAGCAGGGTTTTGAAGAACTATAAGTCGCATGTATGTTGGTTATGTTTTGCTATTTTCTGTTGAAAACATTACCAGTGTGTGATGGGGTGCGACTAACACATGTTGGATAATTGGTGTTTTTTTACACAATTAAAAAAATTATACCCACAGCAGTTAAGATTTTGCATTTTCTCTTTAATAAACTACTATTTGAGCATTTGTTTGAAGTGTTTGATGGAGAAGCAACTAGGAAAAATCATATAAATTAGTGGACCTAATGTAACACACAGTATAATAAAAGTGAGAAATAACAAGAGATAGAACTTTCTGTATTGTTTGTGAGGTTCCACACATTAACTACATAATTTTAAGTAAAAATCAGCATTTTTTGTTAAGTAATGCTGTTAAATTAAGCAGCTGTTTAAAAGATCTATCTTCATGAACCTGGCACAATTTTACACTCAAAGTGCTTAAGTACTAAAAAAATATATCTACAGCTGTATTTGACCAAAGAAAACCTAACAGTGGTTTCCAACAGAGAAACCAATATCATATGTTCTTTTAAAAGGTTTGAAATTTTTTTCTATCATATCAAACAGAATGATAAGTGAAATTTGTAGCAGCTATCCTCTGTAACAGTGACAGTTGTCTTTAATTCTAGAGATGGCATTATAAGAACAATCAATCTCTTTAAAGATTTCATTTTAAAATAATCAGATAAAAAGTTTTAAACTAAATTATTTAATTTATTTAACATTCCAATACATTGTTCTACTTTAGTAGATTCTAGCTACTTATAGAATTTATTTTATTCCATTTATTAGAAAAATGATAAAAAGCGTAAATTTGCTCAAATATTCAACTGTGATGTGCTCTTTTTTTTTTTTTGCATTTTCCTTAGATGGCCTGAAGGCAAGTTTGTCGCGGTATAGCAAACCAAATACTTTTTTTTTTAATTTTTTTCAGCTAAACTTATTGTCTAAGAACAAAAATTTTTTCTTTTCTTTTAGAACAATAATGAAAATACTACAACTGATGTAATATCTGCTGCTACCAGTGTGACTGGATTGTCAGATATAAGAGGTTGTTGTTGTTTTGTGTGTGAATGAGGCAGAAGGTTATAGGGTTGGTTTAGCAGATTTTTAACAAAAAAGTTATCAAAATGTCACTTTTACTTATATAGATCATTTGGTCATCCATAAGTTTTGTCAATATTGAGTTTAACAATTTTTTATTTTATTTTAATTCACCTTCCCAAGTCCATGAAGGTCACTACAGTGGAAGGGGCTACTTTAGTTGTGGTTAAAACCCTCTCTCCAGCTACTTTAATTGTGGTTAAAACTCTATAACTCCGAAACACAAAACTTGATGAACGCGGTACTACAAGAGACAAGGCGTGGATTGAATTATGCCATTATGTTAGGTTTAACTTTTTATGCCAATTTCAAGTTGTTTACTAGTTATTTAGATTAAAAATTTGCAGTAAAGACTTTTTTAAAAAAAAATCTTTTCTAAAATATTTTTAAAAGTGCGTCAGTCTGGCTTTCTGATGTTGAGAGTTATCTATATAGATGATTAAGTTTTACTGAAATTATAAGCTTCACAAGCAGTAAGTTATATTACAGTTTTAAATCAATTCCTAATAGAATTATTTACAATAATTCTGTTAAGAAAATTAAATAAAAAAGGTTTATATATTATGTAGAATATATATAAGCATATATTTATAGAAGAAATATTATATATAGAGTAATATTCAAAAAATAGCATATAGAAATTATAAGTAGAAGTACAAAACTTCATCAGTATAAAAAGATTAGTTAAAGATATAAAAAGATAGTTAAAGATTTATTTGCTAAGTAACATCCATGTGATTATTGTTAGTGTGATCGTGTCATTAACTGAAATTGTATTTTATTTTATGTTTTTTTTTTTGTGAAAGCAGTAAAGCTAAGAAGTTGAGTGATCTAATTAATTTTTTTTTTTAGATTTAAATGATTCTCAGATATTAGTGGAAAATCCTACAGAATCTACTATTTATGATTTAACTCTCAGACTGAGGTTTGCATTATTTTGCATTATTACATTCTTGCATTATTACAACTTACAGGAGAAAAAAAGGATTGATCATATTTTTTAATATTTTATTTTAGGAATGCAGAGAAAGAACTAAATGACATACGCTTTGAATTTAATTTGAAAAAAGGTATCAGATTTTTAATAAAAGCTTATTCAACCTTTGCATCTAATTTTTTAGTTTTGTATGTGTGTTCAAATTTGCTTTCAAAAAAAAGTTTTTTTTATTGCACAACAGAAGAATTATTTCTCTACAACTAAAATGTTAATAGCAATTTCTTTTCTATTTCCTTCTCAACCCTACTATTACTTTTAATTATTTTATTAATTTATATTTCAGTTTGACATATAAGGTTACTTAAACTTATGATGACCAGTCCTATTTAAATCTTTTATTAATATTTTGATAAGATCTAAAAGTTAAGATAAACCAAAAAGGTTCAAAAATCAGTAAACACAGCAACAAAGTGGCAAATAATAGGTATGAAGGGTGGCGCCATAATCAGTAACAAAGAAATAGTAAGAAGATTTAAATTGCACCAGAGAAATACTATGTAAACATTTAAAAATACAGGTGACTTCTGTAATTATGATTTTATATTTTGTCAGTTAAGAGCCGATTTAAGGTTTTATTGTGGACTTATTAACATATTTAACAAATATATGTTAAACAAATATAATTATTGTGGTCTTAATAACATATTTAACAAAAACTGTAAAAAACAATTTTCTTTAAATACGCTTAGAAACATTTGAGGATTGCAATGGTGATATTAGTTTTAATTTTGGGTTGCTATGGGTACCTAAATTGCTAAGCAACCACATATTTTATTAACCTTAACAAATATAAATGGAAAAAATAAAACTGGAAAAAGCAATAACTTTATTGGATTACTCCCATAATTATCACATTGAGTATTTTTATACAACAAATATAGTGGTACTATGGATTGTTATTTAGTTGATAGTGATACCTGAAATGCCTGGCAACCTTCATTTTGCATAGTTACTAGCTAAAGTAACTTATCTGAAAGCATCATATAAACTAGACTAATATTAATGTGGCAGTCTGATTAAAAATTATTTTATGCTTAATTACTAATTTTAAGTATTTTTATGCAGTTCCAGGGCTCTAATTTATATTTCATGAAACTACTACATAATCCATATAAAAAAGTACCTAAAGCTTAAACCTTTATAATAATATAAATTTTGATTTAAATTTTTTTTTCAAACCAAAACTCATTCTGATAATTTTAAAATAGCTTTAGCGTCTTTTTCTTGACCATCTTGGCATAAACTACAACCTGATGCAAACAATAGTTTTTAAGATGAATGTGATCTAACTAATGGCGTTAATCTTCTTTTCTTTGTTTTTTTACCTAAAGTATCAAAATTCACCTGGGGCCTGCCAGGTACTACAGTTGGATAAGATCAGAGTTTTCTTTATCAATGGAGGCAATTAGAATTTTCTTGTTATCAGTTACATATTTAACTGGTTTTGGTTCATTTTATAGCCATTGTTTGTTATTCTCTTTAAAACAAATTTTAGAGTTTTTGCATTTACCTTTATCAAATATGCTTAAATAAATTAGGTTATTATTTGCAGTTAAGTGTATGCCATTTACAACTGTATCCAAAATATTAGGATTAGCTTAGTTCAAGTTTTCTTGTAATATATATTTTATAAATAGGTATTTGAAGATGTATTAATAATAAAACAAGTTTGTAACACTAATCTTGTCTTGCTGAGACTAGGGGTGTATCAGATTGAAAATTTTGAATTCCGGATGGAACTGAATTTGCCAGAAATGTAAATTTTTTACCTTAAAGATTGAAAGTGAAGGTCTATATATATATATATATATATATATATATATATATATATATATATATATATATATATATATATATATATATATATATATATATATATATATATATATATATATGTTATATATGTGTGTGTGTGTGTCGACTTAGGGTTCGTTGTTGCAGCACACACACAAATTAAAATTCATGTTTAAAAAACCTCCACCAATAAGAGCGCAACAAACAAAACCGTCTAACTGTAGTTTTACCTAAAATTGCACTGTGTTTGTTATAAATTTTGTATTTTTTTTTTACCTAGGTTTACCTGTAGTTCTTCATTGCTCTGTAGGATAATTATTTGGTGATTTAATGTAGAGTCACATGTCTGAAAAAAAAGTAAAAAGTAAATTCAGGCATTCCAGCCTTAAAATATTGTAATTCTGGCCGGAAGCAGAATGACCTAAAAGTCAAAATTTCTGATCAGAATTCTAGCCAGAACGGAATTCCGGCTCATCCCTAGCTGAGACCCCATTATTGCATAACCACTTAGAATAAAATAAATATAATGTTTTTGCCACAAAAAAACGGATATATCATTTAACTTGTAAAAATCATAATTAGAGGCCAGGCAGACATCTGTGGATTATAAACCAAAGTTATATTGATAATATACATATTGAACAATTTGTTTCAAGTCTCAAATTGCTGGGCCACTTTGGACCATAAAAGTATTTGACTATAAAATGATATTTAAACTAAAAAAAGTACTTCAAATACGTCATGTCATTTGAAATCATTTTGTTAGACATAAAATAGTGTTGTAATAGCTTATTTGAAAGATAATACTTGATTTTATTAAATATACAATAAAGAGAGGTTTTATAATTAACATCTATTTCATGCTTATTAGTAACACAAAAAAATATTTTCTAATTAAAATTTTTGATATCTATGCATAATGAGTGCATTGATATCAAAATATTTCATTTTCAGCCTACAAATACAAAAAATATTATTTTATGAGACATTTGGACAACCAGACATGAAACAAGTTCCAAATATTTATATGTTTATTTTAATGTAATAAAAAAAATGTTTTACTAAAAAATTGCAATAATTGGAGCTTGGGAACACAAATAAAAGCCAGAATGTGGCCCACATTCTGGCTTTTATTTGTGTTCCTTTGCCCCAAAGATAAAACGTAAAAATTATGTATAGAGACGCAGCTGAAATCCGCCGACAATAGGTAATATGTAAATGGAGCACTTTGGACCGTAAAAGTATTTCATTATTTAAGTGAAATTGTCACTAAAAAAGTACTTTAAATACGTCATCATTAGAAGTCAATTTATTTGATATAGCTTACATGCAAAATAATTTTGCAATACCTCATTTGATAGATAATTCTTAGTTTAACTTGATTATGTAATAAAAAAATGAAATTGTAAAAATTAATAACAATTTATTGCTTATTAGTAACACGAAAACTATTATTAAATTAAAAAAAATGATAATAAAAATTGTTTTAATTCTTGTGTGTAATATACATATCGATTATGGAATCTCATTTATAATATTAAATCTCAAATTATAATAATTGTTTAAAATTACAAGCGCTATATTTTAAAACGTTTTATATTACTAACATTTACAATTAACATTTTACAATTTACAGGCTAATCAAAAAGCTGAATTTTGTCTTCATATTTTATATTTTCTTTGTTTCTTTCATATTTTATATTTTCTGTGTTGTTACTATAAGTCAAGCATAAGCCGAAAAACAGTTAAATAAAAAATGTTTGTTATTATAATATACTTCATTATTACTTTAAAGAGATTTTTTGTTTTCACAAGACTCTTACTTAAACAATTCTCGATAACTTCAAAGTTTTGTTGATGTATCGTTTTTTTTTTTATTCCAAATTTATTTTTAGAGTTTTTCTTTAATTTTTTTTTGCTTCACAACAGATACTGTTGAAGGAGTTTCTCAAGAACTTATGTCAGCGGGATTAATTGATGGAAAAGATTTACTATTAGGTATAATTTTTGTGATTTTAATTTTTTTTTAACTTAAAAGAGGATAAGTGTTTAACTTAAAAGAGGATAAGTTTATTTCAATTCAATTGTGGTAAGTGTTTGATGTTATTCGAATTTGATTGGTGGAAGTGTTTGTATTAAAACGTTTATTAAAAAAAGAAGTTTATTAATAGTTGGCGCCAATTTGAACAAGATGATTACTAATCCTCCAGAAAATAAGCAGCTTGTTTTTGCCTTGGTAAGTTTTTCAATTATTTAAAATAACACGAAATTTTCTTTTTAAAATTATTAAAATTTATATAATGAAAAAGAGCTTTTAACATAAAAATTATTTTGTCATTAACAGAACTCAGACGAGTCAAACGAAAGAGATGAAAAGCAATTGATAGGATTTGCAATGTTATCTCTCCATAATTAATACTTTTAGTTTTACTTGAGAATTATTAATAATTTGCTATCGGATTTATTTTCTGTATAGTATAAAGAGAGTATTTTATAAAGTATATTTTTTTCTGTTTGTTACTTTTGTTGTTTGTTGTTTGTGGCTATTAACTGTTTTTTTTAATTATTATTAGTAATTATTGTTGTTAAATGTTGTTTTCTATTGGTAATTAGTGTTTTTATTATTAACAATTATTTGTTTTAGTGCTATAATTAACTGCTGTTGCTTTTGTTACTATTGTGACAATCAAAACAAAAAATGAATTGCATTTTAATTGATTTCATAGATTAGCGAATTATTGTTACATTATTAGTCTTGTATAAAATGATAGTTATATGTATTTATTCGACAGTTTTTTCATATAAAGTGCTTCTAAGTTATTTCAAGATAGTTATTGTAAAATAATTTTTTTGTTGTTGAGGGAAGAGGGGGGTCTGTTTGAATTTTATCTTTAAATTTCTTAATATCAGAAAATTTATAAAAGCTGCTTTATTAAGTTGACTTGTTTTTATCTTTTATTTTTGATAAAAATCCTCACTGAAAAGAGTTTAACAGTTTTGTTTTATGATAATACTTCTTTTTGCTTTTTTTATGTGTGAATTTAAAAAATATAATTTACTGTATTTTCAAAGAAATATTTCTTTATTTTTTTTCTATTATGTTACATTTTTTAAATATAATTTCTCGCTGTTCCTTTTTTTATTTGGAACAGAGTTATGACTTTTATTCATATATTTATTGATTTATTAGAAAAGAGAATTTTATTAGGAAGTCGAATTTTTAATACTGATAATATTCTGTTAACGAATGTTGCAATCAAAAAATAAAGCTTTTTATCATGTGATGAGAGCGGTTCGCCCCCGGCGCTTTATTATCGTGTTCCAACATAAAATTTTGTTATATTTTATCTAATAATGTTCATAAGCTAAACTAAATAAAAATCAAAGTATGAAAATAACGATTATATAAATGAATTTAAAAAATATTAAAACAACGAATATTTTTGTTAAAATTTAAAAATATTAAAGCATCATGAGGAGCCGCTAACTATAATTACCATGGGTAATAAACAGAAAAATATCTCAATGAATATGATGTATAAAGCTGGGTCTTTAATATCTACCGACATGACCTGCGTATCACTCAAATATTCTAAAATTATAATTAAAAAATTGCCAGAATTATAACTGTGGCTTTACTATAAATATAGCAATTAAATTAACCGGAAAAAAATATTGGATTAGAAGCATAACTTAATCTTAATAATCTCTTAGTTGTGACGTCCTTTCACATCACAATATACATCATAAGAAGATTTGTGCAATGTGTCGGAGATCAGTGCAGCCGTTATGTAGTGATTAGAGTTCTGGCTCAGAACCAAGATGTTCGACGCCGGCTCTAGCCCAATAAGCGATAATGGTAAGGAAGAAGGCGTGAACTTATTAGTGGTGCACTACTAAACAGCGCTTTTTAAATGTAAAATTAGAATAAAACCAAAGTCTAATATTTTTTTGGGTAAAAAGTATTTAAAATGAAATTTTTTTATACAACCATAGCACTATGCGTCGCGAAGCGGAAATAGGATTTTACTTACTTTTCTGAAAAAAAATGTTTCAATTTTAATATTTTTAATATTTTTAAACCGAAGCAAGTTAGTATTAATTATTAAAAAAATGTTTGTTGCAAATTTTTTTAAATTTGTTATTTTAAGTGCGGGATTTTCAGGGGTAAAAAAACCCGGGTTTTCACTAAATCTTTATATTACATACAATAATTTCCGAATTTTCTCAATTTTTTTGCATATTATCAAATAAATGATGCATTTTATAAATTAAAAACCAAGAAAAAAAAAATGTTTGGATCATTGTTTTTGTGTGTCTGTAAAGATTGATTGATTAAACCGTGTTACTACAGAAGTAGACAGTGAATTAATATTCTGGCTACCTCTGTGGTAACAAGGTATAAAATCAATTCATTGTAGTGTGTTTTATTAAAAACCGGTTAATAATAAGTATAAAAAACAAAACTTGATGCGGAGCGGTACGTATATTAAGTTGTAGTTTTTGATAATGAATTTTAGTGATACTGATAGTGCAATGATTGGGTGAACCTAATGTAGAAGAAGTAAGAAATAAACGTTTAAGTGAGATTAGAGCTTATTAGTTTTTATGCACCATTTCCAAAATAATTTTTCATTTTCATTTATTTTGTCTCCTTAATGAATTTTGGTATTATGTATATAATATGTTACAAATTGTTAAAATGGCTGGAAATATTTTAAGTAATCATTTCACAAAAATTTGCTTATATTTAGTTTTTAAATGGATGATCAAGACAAAAATTTTCAAGTAAAAAAATAATTTTTTAAAAAATTTTTAACGGTATATTTATATTTTAAAAGTTAAGTTTTAATATAGTTCCAATGAACTTTTAAAATATTACTTGGGGTGCCACAAATTAAAAATTAGAGAATTCAGTACAGCGAGTCAAAACTTCGCCGCACAGTGAGTCAAAATTTTGACTCACTGTGCGGCGCTGTACTGAATTCTCTAATTTTTAATTTTTGGCATCCCAAGTAATATTTTAAAAGTTCATTGGAACTACATTAAAACTTAACTTTTAAAATATAAATATACCATTAAAAATTTTTTTAAAAATATATTTTTGCTTGAAAATTTTTGTCTTGATCATCCATTTAAAAACTAAACATAAGCAAATTTTTGTGAAATGATTACTTAAAATTTATCCAGCCATTTTAACATGAAATTTGTAACATATTATAAACATAATACCAAAAATTCATTAAGGAGAGAAAATAAATGAAAATGAAAAATTATTTTGGAAATGGTGCATAAAAAATTAACAATCTCTAATCTCACTAAAACGTTTATTTCTTACTTCTTCTTCATTAGGTTCACCCTATCATTGCACTGTCATTGCGTCTTGCTGAGACTTTTGTGATTTTGATGGCCCTTAGATTGATATGTTATGTCCATTTTGATGGTAATTAGACTGATATGTTAGGCTGTTTGTCTCTTTGCTAAAAAATGCGCATTCTATTTTATCTTCTTAAATGAGGCAGAGATGACAACTTTATTTCTTCTAGTCAGTTTTGAAGTCAAGCCAATTCTGAAAACTTCGTTTTTTAGAATTTTTTTTAAAGGGTTTATTCTTAAAATCTAACTCAAAATAAGAATTCTAGTCGATTAGCGTCATTTTCATGACTTCATAATAGCTAAACCCTGAGCTTGTAATAAAAGATTTTTTTATAAAAATGAGAATTCACATTTCACTACCGTATTTATAAAATATTCCTAAGGGGTATTGCAATAGCATGAAAAAAACAGCAGATTCAACATTTCTTTTATTGATCAAGAGCCGCCGTCTGTTAGAATCAGACAGAGCCCATTAGTGACCCTTTTCAAAAAAATTATTTTTATATTGTCGCTATTCATTTTAGAAGATAAATTCAAATATATTTTTCTAAAAATAATTATTTGTTCTATTGGTTAATATTGGACTTCAAAACTTGAGAAATATTTTATTGACTAAATGGTGTCAAACGCATTTTTCAAACTTGAAATTAAAATAAAGCCCATACTTTTGCATAATATACTACTTTTATTAATTTATTTTATTATTATATATTAGCAAATTGAGACCTAAAAAAGAATAAAATGCTTATGGTATGCATATAGCTTGTCTACGTATCATGCTTTATTAATTTTGATCTTTGTTTTCTTTTAATATCTTTTTTAGTCTATATATTTTTATTAGCTCTTTATCTACTAAAACACCTAAAAATGTAAAGTTTCAATGTTGTGCAAAAATAATGTTGTTGGCTTGGGGTAGGTTGGTTAGGATTTTGTGACAAAATCCTAACCCATCTTGGGAAGGGATGATGTGTAAAAACTTCACTAAAAGTGTGACGTTATTTATGAACAGCTCCTTAGTTGTAAAATCCAAATAAAAATTTAATAAACTCTGCAAACATTTTTTTTATTCCGAAATAGTTGAATGAACTATGCTCATATAGGACTTTGGCCATTTTAATGTTATAAGTAATGCGCCTAAAAGTTAGAACTTTGTTTTTGGGTTCGACTTTACAATCAAGGCGCTGTTCATATACTACATCACGCTTTTTTTTATAGATTTTTGAACTCTTCCCCTACCTATCAAAATCCATACAAACCCCCTTCTACAGCATGACGTAATTTATCAACAGCTCTTAAGATCTGTTGATAAATTACGATCTCTCAAGATCTCGAGCTTTTTTTTCCTAATAAGTATTTTTGCATTTTGAGGTATTTTACTAAAAGAGGATTTATATTTAAAAAAAAATCATATAAAATCTATGTTATTTTTTTTCTAACTATATCAATACTTCATAGGTTTTTTTCAAATGTGGTAGATAAAATGTCAATATTTATTTTTGAAAATAAACTTTTACTGCAAACCTAGGGTTTTAGCTATTACAAGATCACAAAAACTGCGCTAATTGATTAGAATTATTTTTTGATTTAGATTTTGAGACTAACTTCCTAATTTTTATAAGTATGTTCATATTTTAGGTACTATACTAGATGAGATTTATAATAATATAAAAAAGGATTACATGTAAAGTTAAGTAAAAATGAAAATCAAAAATGACAAAAAAATAATTTTTGGCTAATTTTGAAGCATAATTTTAGTTCTAAACTAGCAAATAAACAATAATCATGCAAAATATCCATTAAAAAGTATGTAGTTTTTTTCTACTTACAACTTTAAAAATGCTATCGACACCATTTCGTTAATATTCCGACAATATTTTGTGAGGTTAGAATCACTTTGTTCTATCTCCACATTTTTGAGTTTTGAGATGAGCCGATTTAAAAAACAAAACTTTAGGAGACAGCATAAAGAAAGATTTTTATTTGTTATATTTTATCCGCAATTTTTTCAATTACAACTTAGATTTTAATGCAGTAGAAAAACATTATTTTGAGGTACATAACACAATCTATAACTCGAAATTTTCAAAAAGTGGAGATAAAAAAAGATAATTCAAACCTCGCCATTTTTTAAACTTTAAAGTCTAGTATCTAGAGCACCAATAAATATTTTTTCAATTTTATTTTTAAAATTTACCTTTAAGTATGAATAGATTCAACAAGCTAAAAAAAGAATGACTTTAAGTATGAATAGTTTCAGCTAAAAAAAATAACAAATTTAAAGTCTTACTATTACAGACAGTTGTTCCGAGAATTCCTTACGGTCTTATCACAGAGCACCGCGGATAAACATTTAGCTTGAAATTTCAACCCACTTTTTTTACTATGTCGTATAAGTAACGAGAGCCTCGGATCTCTTGGAGTCAGAACTCCAAAAACTATGCCACGGATGCTATTCCTGATTTTACTGATTACATTCTTTTACTTCAAAAAATATTTTATTCGTTCTTGTATAGAGTACTGTTGTCTTATTTTTATTAATTCTTTTAATGAGACCCTCTCCAGCGTGACGTTCAGCTAAACGTGAGTAGGTCTGATAATATTTACACTAATAGTTATGAGCTACTAAGTTAAAAATCTTGGCTTCTGTGTAATAGTTGTAAGGTTGGATATTTTTCTCATTTCTACATAAGTTATCATGGTTGCTGCTTAACAATCAATTTTAACTTGTTCCATCAACCAAAACTTAATTTTCAAACTGTAAACTTAATTTTTTAACTGTAAATAAAAACTGTTTCTTCATGCTCAAAAACGTTCTATTTATTTAGTTTTTTTTTT